GCATCCATCTCAGTGTGGTGTACTCTGTCCGTCTCTGCTTGACCTCGTTCTTGTTGAGTTGGTTATAAACAGCGCCATGATAATAAAACTCATGTTATCATCTTCTTATTGTTATTATTATTCATGATTATTTGTTCGTATCTCATAAACAGCGCAGCGCCCATAACCGTCGTCGGATCGAGCGCACATGAAGGTGGGCCTTAGGTGGCAGACCTTCAGCTTCACACTGGTTATCAAGCGCGGGAAGATGTGGTGTGGATTATATGATTGGGGTTTGGGGTTTGGGGTTTGGGGCGTTGAAGGCGGCGGGGCGAGGATGCCCGGGTGCACAATCGCCATCTCGCCTGCCCAGCAAGAAGAACGAAACGACGGCGATGATGGAGGAGGAGGAGGAGGAAGAAGAAGAAGAAAAAGAAGAAGAAGAAGAAGAAGAAGAGAGAAAGAAGGGCACTCTTGGCTCATTCGATGCATTTGTGAGGAGGACGAGGCGATGGCGGCAACGGGGGAAGACGAGGAGGAGGAGGAAGAGGAAGACGATGGAGACGAAAGTACAGCAACGAAGAAGAAGAAGAAGAAGAAGAAGAAGAAGAAGAAGAAGAAGAAGAAGAAGAAGAGGGATTGAAAGCGCCCCACAATGGGAGACAAAATGATCTGATTCTTGCTGCAATGCAGGCTGTCAGTACAGGCTGTAATCTTTCAACGGTGGCGTCCTGGACCATGCTTTTGTAGTCGTCAACAAGAAACAGAAAGGAGAGGGGGTGGTAGATCTCCTATAGACTCTGGCGGACGACAGACAAGTAGGAGGGAGGAGTAGCACAGGAGGAGGAAGACCGGAAGGAAGAAGACCGGGTGGAGGGAGAAGGCATTTGCAGGAAGAGGAGCAGACGGAAGAAGCGGAGCATGAGGAGGACGGCAACCGGAGGGGAAGGAGGAGCCAACGCACCTGAGAAACAATTCCAAGGAGGAATACATACAAGACTGAAAGAGAGCTCAGCGAGTCGCATATAAGGTATATATATATGACAGCATATATGAGCCTAGCTCCACTACTCACCAAGTGAAGTGTGCAACATGAGAATGCATCTTCGGCTAGAACATGGAAACATACACCGCGTGCGCAGACTGTCGGGGCTCAACCTCCTGATGAGTCGGTGAAAAAGTCCGACGAAATAGTCTGGCACACTCATGCTTTTCTTGAGTGTATAGCCAATATCACAACACGCACACACGCACACACACATACATACATACATGCATACATACATACATACATACATATATAAGATGCATAGTCACAAAGGCCTGCCCGGAAAACTATACATAGGCAGAAAGGGACAAAATGACAAGAAAGTGGGGAGTGGGAGTGGGAGTGGGGGTTGTAACAGAGACTGATTCGTCGGAGTTTCACGGACTCATCAGGATATGTTCAGAGTCTTCAGACTGATTCGTCGGAGTTTCACCGACTCATCAGGATGCTGAACATATCTGTCATCCACGTGGCTGGCCTTGTACGTAAGAGGTGACGAACAGGTGGGGCTTTCCTTCCTTACTTCTTTTTCTTTTTCTTGTTTTGTCTTTTTCCGCCTTTGCGCTTCGATTTCCAGTGTGACAATATATAGATGACAGAGTGTTCGTTGTTGTTTGTTGTTGTTGTTGTTGATGTTAGAGCTGACGGACTGTTCAGCCGGACTCTCACCCTGTCTCGTGTGTTCTTGTCGCACGGTATGTGTCATGCCATTGAGGGCGTACTCGCAGTAGGGACATTTCCTGCCGAGCTCTCTCTGGACGTGATTGCTGTCAGATTCATCCAGTTGGGGGCGTAACTGCAGTCACATACAGTTAGTTAGCAAACTGCTAGTGTGGAGGTACCCTGCTAAGCTCTCTCTGGACGTGATTGCTGTCAGATTCATCCAGTTCGGGCCGTCACTGCAGTCAGATACAGTTAGCAAAGTGCGAATGTGACACGTCTACCCTGCTAAGCTCTCTCTGGACGTGACTGCAGTCAGGTTCATCCAGTTCGGGCCGTAACTGCAGTCAGATACAGTTAGCAAAGTCTATACCCTGCTAAGCTCTCTCTGGACGTGATTGCAGTCAAATGCATCCAGTTCGGGCCGTAACTGCAGTCAGATACAGTTAGCGAAGTGCTAGTCTGACACGTCTTCCCTGCTAAGCTCTCTCTGGACGCGATTGCAGTCAGATTCATCCAGTTCGGGCCGTAACTGCAGTCAGATACAGTTAGCAAAGTGCTACCTAGTCTGAGTCTATACCCTGCTAAGCTCTCTCTGGACGTGATTCAGTCAGATTCATCCAGTTCCGTCCGTAACTGCAGTCAGATACGGTTAGCCAATTGCTCGTGTGAGTCCACCCCCTTTGCTCGCTGACATCCACAAGCTGCCTTCACAAACTGTTGGCCAATTGTTAGACATGCGCCATTCACCCATGGCGAAGTGACTGGCCATTGCTCGGCGATAGCACCGCCGATTTTCCCCATCGGCAATGCCTGCCCACCCTTCGTCACCGTGATGAGGAACTGGTACAGCCTTGCTCTCGCACCACAGCTGTGGTGCAAACCTACCCCGTGGGCTGGGGAGAGATCCGGGTTGGTTGGTGTTCCCCCCTACTATAATAGATTAGTGAGAGGATGAGATAGATGCGTACTACCAAGTAAAAAAGAGATGAAATAGAAAGGCCTGAAAGGCTGTCCTGTCCAGATTTGACAGGTAATTGAATTGGTAAAAAAAAAAAAAAAAAGTGAAATAGATGAGTGAAGAATATAGCTTACCTTTATTAAAAAAAAGAAGAAAAAAAAAAAAGTGAGAGCGTACTCACACTTGAGCTTTTTCGACTGAGCTCTGGACGTCATTGCAGTCAGATTCATCCACGTCAGATACCGTTTAGGAAAGTGCTAGTGTGAGTATGCCCTTACCGTACTTCTCTCTCACTCCCGTGATGTCCAGATTCATCCATGCCCGCCAGATTCCATTTAGGAAAGCTCTGGACGTCACTGCTCAGCTCTGGACGTGATTGCGGTACGATTCATCTAGTTCGGGACGTAACAGCGGCCAGATTCATCCATGCCCGCCATGCCCCCTAGCTCTTGGCTGTCTTCTCGTCCACCGTCTTCCCCCCAACACAAGGCTCCCTGATAACGAATGTACACAAGCTATCGTTCCGGTCCGGTGCAGCCAAAATGAGGGTCCGTTGCGTTGGGCGAAGACGCCACCTGCTACCCCACTTGTGTACCCTTCTCCCCCCGACTACGTGGAACGTACGGTCATTATCGCTGAATCTGGACTGAAAGTTGCCCCAAATACGTCCGTCTACCGTGACCGTAGTTCTATTCCGGGGAAGATGGTAGTTACCGTCATCTGCTCTCTGCCCGCGCAGCTACGTCCAAGGGCGAGATCCCAATAACAAAGAGATTGGATTGGAAACCTGAATCTGGACGTGTCTGTGGAGACGTGCAGATCATTGCGATTTCTCTGCTTTTTCTGTATTCAGGCGCTTAGGGCCTCGTTCGACACCATTAGAAAACCCTTACTTTGTAAGGGCGCCCTTACGACGAAAATGTGATTAGTTTTCCCTTACTCCGTTTTTCGTTCCACAACCACTTATGAAAACCCTACACTTTATCGCACTTACGTTTCAGGTGCCCCCGTTCGCACCTTACATTTCAGGTGCCCCCGTTTGCACCTTACACGGCCGAGAATTGAATGTGAGTGGCCGGAAAAAAAAATGTCAGCGGTTTTCCGGTGGAAAGTAAGGGCGCCACCCCTACTTTCAAGTCACCTCCATGGCCGTCCTTGTGTTTGCGTCCGTTTTGGCTGGGGAGTCCTTAATTTTGTAGGGCTTGCCCTTACGCCCGTGAATGTGAAAACAAATTTCACAAATTTCGCATCTTTTTTTTCGTCATTAGGGAGAGGTGGAAAGATGAAACCCTTACATGTAAGGGTTTTCTAGTAGTGTCGAACGAGACCCTTAGTCCAATCTTCTTGGGTGGTGGGATCTCGCCCGAAAACCGATCATAACGCGTACCGTCTTCACCTGAACTGAATAGGATGCTCAGGTATTATGGTAGTATTAGGACCATTTTTTTTTTATTATTATTTTTTATTATTATTTTTTTGGGACCAATTTCAATTGGGGGCTCAGTCCCACTTACGCCTTTCGTTGTAGCTGCCTACAGGCAGCGACTGGTAGCGGCGCCGTGGGACTGTTGATTGAAGTGGATCGTACGGTCCTCCATATGTGCCAACGTCAGGCTGTAGGTTGCGGCCGGTCTATACCGTTTCGGTGGACGTCCTTCGTTTACTGGACGTTCACACTACCGTTTGCTACCGTTTGCCCTGTGGTTCGTTGTAGCTACCGGTAGGTACCTTTTATTTTATTTTATTTTATTTTATTTATTTATTTATTTAATTTTTTTTAATGCAGCGAGGTACATGGCTACAACGATGAAGGTACTTTTTTTTTTTTTTTTTTTTTTTTTAACTCAAAACTCCAAATGAGGCCTGGAAAACCTCGACATTTCAACCCGGAGGAAAAAATGGGGCCATTACCCAGCTTAGGCTAGGCTGGAAACCGGGTCCAGCGTCCCAAGATGTATTCCTTTCCAAAAAAGGTTATAAACTGGACAAAGAAAGAATAAAACAGGAACAAAGGAAACAGACAACTAAGAGAAAAGGCCAGCCATGGCCTGTACCGGAGTAGGCTGCCCTCTGTATGCTGCTCGTGAAGGTACATTTTTCTCCTTTGAATGGATTCCCATTTACCTAGTGAAAATCTTGTCTACGGTGAACCTCGTCCCATGTATTCCGTACAACAGAATGCCGCACCGCGGTCGCCCCATCGTAACACCGTGGTAGCTGCCTACACTACGGGCCTCGCCGCACCACTGTCGAAAATGCAATGTTCGACACAGGCTGTCGAAGACGGAGACGGGAAAAACATTCGGCAGTTGTCAGAGAATGCTTCTGGACACCTCCTTGTCGAGAAAGTTGTTGAATCCCCAGCCAGCCTCCTGCTACTCCGAAGCTTTCTGCTACTCCGAAGCTTTCGACACTCCTCGGCTGCGCCGTCGACTTCTCTTCGAAATTCGGTGAGTGGCGGTAAGAGTCGGGATGGGAATGCTTGTCGTACCCTCTGGCACGTTCGTCGTTTTCCATCTTGCATCCACAAGGGCGTGGACTCCACAGTGCTGTGTGGCTAAACTGTCAAATGGAGGCTGTCGAATTTGTTCTGACAGCCGTCGAATTTTTTTGCATTGCATTTCGACTGTGGTGCGGCGAGGCCCTACAACGCGCAGGAGGTGGGACCGAGCCCCGGGAGGCAATCGCTGGTCTAGCTACAGTAGGTATCCAGTCAGAGGAAAGGTTTCTGCAACGCAATCTATTGGTTGACATCCAATAGCCGTTTATGCTCTTTGGCTTGGCGCATGGTTAGCGGTTTCCGAATTAGAAAGAAAAAATTGTTAGCGGTTTCACACCGGTCCTCGTTGGCCACGTGGCAATTACTTGCCACGTGGCCGTGATCTGTGGCGCCCGCTAACTTGACTTGGCGGTAGCGTTCTTTTCGCCTCCTCCTGTATTGTAGCTGTCTTTTCGTCCAGGTACTCGACGAGTGCAGTGCGGGGCGTTGTGTACATCGGTTGCGTCTGGACTGTCAGCCATGGCGCAGCCGGCGGGAGGTCGACCTAACCCTCCGGGTGACGCCGTTGGAAGCAGCGATGGCCTCCTCCGTGTAAGGGAGGGAGCAACAGCAGCAGCAGCAGCGGGAGGAGGAGGAGGAGGAGGAGGAGGAGGAGTTATCTCTGCAAGTGAAAGTGGCAATGTCGGTGTTGCAGCAAGCAGCTCTTCTGCTATTACCTCTCTTCAGCATTCTCAGCCGCTGCATCATCATCATCATCAGCAGCAGCAGCAGCAGCAACCAGTGGTCACGGCTTTGTTAGACAGGCCAGATTTCAACACCCTCGATTTCATCAATCAATCAATCAGATGTTTCACAAATGAGTCTTCGCTGGTGGCTGTGGAGCCGTTGATCCATCGGTTATGGCACAAGATAAGGCGGGTGGGTGGATACGGAGAATCTGGCTGCAGTACGACAACAGAGCTCGTCTGGGACCAAAGCTAGGGAAGACCTTGCCGCTGCCACAAACGCGATTCAAGAACTGTTTGTTTCTCAAGCAAGATCCGAGAGATGTTGTTTCCAAAGAAGTGAAGGCGGAACAAAGCGAGGTTATGGTGCAAGAAATTTGTAGGGATATCAAAAAGCTGTCGATGCAGAGGATCCGCGAGAACGGCCAGCTCCAGCAGCAGCTGGCGGAGGCCCCTGCTTGGTGGTGGACGCTATAGTAGAACCTGACGTCAAGGAAAAAGAGCTAATTAGCGGGTTCTGGTCCAAGGAGTTGACGTCTTATCAACAGATATTCCAGGGTACGTTGGAGGTGGCGAAGCTGGAGAAAGCAGAGCCGCCATATGCGTGGATAAAGAAGCAGCTGCGCGCCAATGAGGAGGGGTATGGTAGGCGGTTCAGGCATCGTGGAGGGTGCCGTTCCTGCTGTGCCAGCAGTTTTGCAAAGTGACAAGAGCGCACCTGAGGGGGATCATGGATGGGATGAAGGATAGACCGGCGGACGTGGCAACGCTGTTGCAAGGACCGGTGCAAGGACCGGTCCTCGGGTTGAAGTCGACCCCAAAAAGGAAAACTAAGGTGAAGCAGCGGCAAATGGAAAGGGCGGGGGCGGGGGCGGGGGGGCGGGGGCAGGGGCTGAAAAGTCCGAAAGTGCGCAGGCTTGGGCAGTGTGGTTGAAACGACACTTCCGACTTGCGCTGACTTTGTGCGTGCGCAACAAGGCTCACGTCACGTCCCTCGCTTGCCGCCGGTCCCACTCCCCTCAATCGCTCTCGCCATCGTCCAAATGAATCATCATCCTCGTGGTCTGTGTAGGATCCTATGTGTGTGCGCGCGCCCCGTTACTAACTCCGTCCATCGTCGAATGCATCCTGCATCCACATACCTTTACTACCAATCATACACGTAGCAACCAAGAACGGCGCTTACCTCGGCGTATCAGGGTGCGTTGCTCATCCTATCGAGGGAACTCCCTCTCTCTGTCTCTCTCTCTCACACACATACACACACACACACATATCCCTGTTGTCCACCCTCTCTCTCTCTCTCTCTCACACACACACACACACACACACACACA